ATCTCTCTCTCTCTCTCTTTCTCTCTCTCTCTCTCTCTCTCTCTCTCTCTAAAACACATGACAGACCATTCAACACATGTCACACACAGATGTTAGCTGATTTTGTTGCCCCGTATCGCGCGCATATAAGCTTAAGAGCGAATTTCCCCTTAATAACGGAATCCTGTTCGTCATCCTACTATATATTCGAAATAGCCGTTGTATCTCGTCTGAAAGACCTATAGTATAGTATAAGTAAAGCTTTCTGCCCAAATGTCGATTATTATGGGGAAGTAGGCATCTTACAACAAATGGAATATCCTTCTTGCATTAGGATTGCAGGAATTAGGCTAACGCTCCATTAGGAGTGTTCCCAACTTTGATATCATTAATGATTAATGATTGATAATCCTAACCCTAACCTAACCTATAACATAACCCTAACCAGTAATGACATTAAAGTTGGGAACAGTCCTAATAGAGTATCACCCCTGAGATGGGCTACATAGGAGGTGTAATCATTCGGAAACGAGACTCGACAGGTAAGTACATATTGAGACATTGTTGAGACAGCCATGCATGATAATTTAATCAGTGCGAGGCAAAATTTCCTAAGCACTGTAGAAGTTATTAGGTCATAATATTATTAAGTTCTATTAAAGTTATTCGAATGTTAGTCATCCCCTTGTTTGATTAATGCCAGGTAATATGTACAATGATTCAACTAATCTTTTTGTTGTCTTTTTGTTTCAATTTCAATATATTTTCGTTGCCTATTTTTCTGGTTATTGTTATTATGAATGTCGCTGTTGTTGTTGTTATTGTTGCTAACGCAGCTGCAGTCCTTGCCGTTGTCGTGGCGTCGGTGCCTTCTCTGTGATCATATGTTGTTGTTGTTGTTGTTGTTGTTGTTGTTGTCGTTGTCGTTGTTTCTGCTGCTGCTGCTGCTGCTGCCGCTGCTGCTGCTGCTGCTGCTACTGCTGCTCCTGCTGCGCCTGCTGCCGCTGCTGATGCTGTTACTACTGCTACTGCT